CAAAGTGCTGGAATTACAGGCGTGAGCCACTGCACCCGGCCAATTAATTTTTTAATTTTTTTGCAGAGACAGGGTATCTCTCTGTTGCCCAGGATGGTCTCCGATCCCTATCCTCAAGCAATCCTTCCACCTCGGCTCCCAGATTGCTGGACTTTACAGGTAAGGGCAATTGTACCTAGCCAGAAAGTCTAGGTTTTGGGGAGAGTGGGTGTGTGGAAATGTAATAGAGGATAAAACTTGTTAAAGATATCATCTAAATGCCTTTACCATAGATTTTTTTTTTCACATTTCTTCTGAGAAGACAAGATTTTTAAAATTATAATATTCTCTACATTCAAATGGTTCAGTGCTGACAATTATACACCACCTATATATTAACATGGTAAAATGCCACAAGGAGCAACTCATTGTTGCTACCTAATGATCTGATTCTCTGTGAACTAAAAAAAAAAAAAAAAAAGGTGTATTTGCACAAACAAGGTACAAGGTGATGTCACGATCTATTAACAAAAGTATGAAGGGTCTGAATCAACCAATATGTACCTGGTTGATATTGCCATGTCACATCAGCTCCTAGTCTTCAGTTGTTTCCAGTAAAACCACCTTATATTTTTATCATACTTTACAGTTTGCAGAAAGATTTCACATAAATTATCACATTGGATCCAAAAGAGAATCCAGTGAGATAGGTAGGGCAGATTTTTGTCAATATATACTAATAAGAAACATAGACATCTAGAATGTGGCCATAACATGTAATAAATATGATGCTGATTTATATCTCCCCTCAGATTAGGAGCCAGGGAGGGATGAGAAGTTAATTGAGCTGAGCATCTCAGAAACAGGAAGTCACAGCTGAACAGCAAGAGTTGATTCCACCGAGAAAAGAAATCAGCTTGGACAGAGATCTTCGTCTCAACACCAAAAGGCCCCTTTGAGTTTTTCTAGCAAGAGTCCCTAGTTCTAGGAAGCCAAGCACAGGGCAAATTCTCTGTGTACTGACTTCCAAACTGCTTGGTTTTGGATCCCTTCTCGCATAGTCTGAAGGGAAAGGAGGCGTATTTGTTTCATTGGATTATATGGAACATCAGAAATCAGGTGGGGTGGCAGTGGTGGAATCTCTTAAAAGTCTTTTGAATTCCTTCGTCACTGAACTGGTCCTAGTTAAAATCCTGAGCAAAGAGATTAAACAAAAGAAAACAATATCACAGATACTGAACAAAAAGGAATAGTTCATGTATCTGAAGAGCTCTTTAATTCTAAGCATAGTCAAGGAATAGTTTAGAGGACTTGCCTAAATCAATTTCACTTCAGAATGAAGACAATGTCTGGGTCATTGACCAACATTAATAGAAGAAAAAAAATCATTAGCTAAAAAATGAAGTGACAGGAGTGGAGGAAGGTGAGAGGAAAGAACACACTAAAAAGGGAAACAGAAGACATGAGCAAAGTACAAAGGAAAAGGAAAATAAATTGAATCTTTCTCATTTTTTTCCCCTTTGATATAACATTCAGAACAAAGATTATAACCATACCTATTGTATAAAGGTTTAACATGCAGGAGATCAACACATCAACATAAGACCAGTTAGAAGTTCATGTCCAAGGTCAATGATACATTTTTCTCATTGCAAATCTTATATGCAGAAATCTAATTATGAGGTATGAGGATTGACCCAGGCAAAAAGACAAACATTTTACAAAACAAAAATACACCTAATTCTCTAAATAAAAATGTTTTCATCAACACATTTAAAATATTACATCTCTAAAATCAGGATAAGTTTAAGTAATAATATGGAAAAATGTGCTTTTCAGGTAATGTAAAATATATGTATTTCTGCATTCACAAATACATTCCACTTGCTAAATAGATTTTGGTTTCAATTCTACTGACATATGCTTAATAAACCTAAAGTTCTAACTATGTTCTTTTGGTAAAATGTCAATTTGCACATGTATTCAATTTGCGTCCAGTCTTTTTTCCCATATGTTTATTGACTTTTAGCTTAGTCCCTGAGGTTCTTACAAATTATTTTCTTCTCTCTTAAGATGGGGACTGATCTAGTTCAAGTTATGCACCTAAAAACTTAGTTGTAAGTAAGAAATAGAACAATAAAAATAACAACCTGGAGTTATCTCAGTTATGTGCTCTGTACCAAACAAGACACTTTATTAGGTAAATCAGTTATTAGTGCTTCATTTCAGGATAGTCTCCATACGATGTTTTTGCACCTTATTGTGGATTTTAATAAATTTTTGGCTTAAACAAACTGAAATTTATCAGCTTACATAGTGATATCCACCATAGGCAAATATATTCAGGGAATTTCTGTTTGACTAACAACATCCTCCAGTGAACACCCCCACTCCGTTTTTGTCACACATGTGGTGGTAAAGAGAGGGAAGAGAAAAATCTTTGGAGATGTTGTAGAAAAAAAACACAAACTGTAAAGTCAAAATGCTTGATGGAGAGATTCTATTTTCTCTAGAAAAAAGTATCTTTCAATTTACCTCTGCCTTGAACGATTGTCTGGTCATATTCAGACATTAGTCACCTGCCCTAAGTCACACAGTTTGTAGCACTGCTAGAGAAAGAATCTAAAACGTGATGCTCACCGCATTCAAGACTGTATCCTTTTTTAGCAGGAAAAAATGGAAAAAGCTTTTAAGTTAAAACAGAGTTCATAAACATCAACTAGGGGTTGAAGAGGGCAGTCTGAATCCCCAAATTCTTTACATTCAACTATTCATGGTCCCAGATAACTCTGAAACTTACGGTTTGAAATTTTTGGTTACTGGCTGGCATCCATTCTGATTGGTTGCTATATCCATTTTAGTTGGTCCATTTATACTTAACAGCTTTATTTACTTATTTTAGAAACAAAGTCTCGCTCTGTCACCCAGGCTGGAGTGCAGTGACACAAATGTGGCTCATTGTAACCTTCGACTCCTGGAATCAAGGGGATCCTCCTGCCTTAGCCTCCTAAGTAGCTAGGACTACAGGCACCTGTCATCATGCTTGGCTTTTTCTTTTTTTTCTTTTCTTTTTTTTTTCAGAGATGGGGTCTTGCTCTGTTGCCCAGGCTGGTCCCAAACTCTGGCTCTTAAGCAATTCTCCCACCTCGGCTTCCCAAAGTTCTGAGATTATAGATGTGAGCCACCATGCTGGGCCTTAACAGCTTTACTGAGGTAAAATTGATATGTAACAAACTGCTCATATTTAACCATATAATTTAAATGTATCTCTATGTGTACACCTGTGAAGCCATTACCACAATCAAGATAATGAACACATCCATCACTCCTCCCAAAGTTTCCTCATGCCTCTTTGTAATTCCTGCCTCCTGACCCTCCCCAACGATAACTGCTGATGCGCTTTTGTCCCTATACGTTAGTTTGAATTTCCTAGAATATTATGTAAATGATTTGTACTCATTTTTGTCTAGCATTTTCCACTCAGAATAATTATGTTGATTCTTCCATGTTGTAAAATGTATTCGTGGTTTATTATTTTACATTGCTGGGTAATATTTCATTGTTGGACTATACCATGATTTGTTTATCTATTCACTTGTCGATGGACTATTGTCTAAATTTTTAGAGTTATTAAGCTGTGCAGTGTTGAACTTTAGATGGGTGTACAACTACTATTCCATTTAGCCTATTTTTCTAATCCTAGTTGGCAGTTCCTCATAATGTAATTCTTCGAAGGAATATTTCTGTTTCACAAAATGTCAACATCTTAGGGTTTGCAAGCTATTGCACTTTTTCTCCCCTTTAATTGAGGCTGGATTGGTCAGCTTAGTCAGTCAACAGTGTTTGAGAGACCTGAATAGCCAAATTAGGAAAAAGTATTGCAAGTTTATCTGAGATCCTTGGGAATAAAGATAGGTTTCCACTGAGTTTCATTGATTCTTTTCTTACTTATTTTTTTGTTTGTTTGTTTGAGGAAACCATGTAAAACTTAGGTGTTACTAACGATTTTAAACAAAAATTAATTACAGTAATACTTATAACTAAGCTAAGAGCAAAAGATATATTTAGTTAGGGGATAAACTCATTTTTATTTTCTAATTTCAAGAGACATTTTTAAAACTAAGAGGTTTTTATTGGAATTGGAAAAATATATATTGATGTTATTTTTTTAACTGAAGGAAGTAAGACCAAGATGGGGCAGATTTCTAATTTTACTGATTGGCACTGTAGGAAAATGCTCATATTTCACAGGTATAACATTATTAATGCCCAATCCCGTAGTCCTTTTTCATGCAGAACTCCCACTGGGAGTACCACATGAGAAAGAAATGCAGGATGAGACCCGATTATTATAACTCACAAGACTAATTATGACTTTGAGTTTTCCTGGATAAGCTAATTCTTTCTGCACCCTGGGATCAGTAAGCACAAAAGTAGTCTCACTAGGGCTTCACTGCATTTAACATTATGTATATTTACAAATAAATTCAGAGACATTAAACAGTACTTCAGCTCTCCTCCATTTTCTTTGTAGTTTGTTTTTAAAATTATAAAAAAAATTTAAGACAATGCCACAGGTGTAGTTTTACTTTAAAAATAATAGTAAGGTACACACCAGTCATTTATTTTTTGGCTTTGACTCATCTGTTTTAAATAGACTATTTATTTTTATCAGCGTCACTGGTGAGTAAGGCTAAGGAGGGACATCGGAAAGCAAGGATTAAAGAGAATTTCAAAGAAAAAAGTAAGATAGACAAATAGGAGTTGGAAGGAAAAGACAGAAAGAGAACAACTGTTGTAGATAAAAGAAGACTGTGGCAGGAGGGGCTTAATTTTATTTTTATTTGTGGAGAGCTTTGTGAATGACATAAAATGATTACATATTCTCGAATGATTTAAAATCAGTGTCTGATTTTCTGGCTTGACAAATCTCACAATCAATGATTCCAGAGTTTTCTATGATGCCACTATCAACAAATCCCTCCAACAGCCTTTTTTATTCAGTTACCCATTGTATCTCTATATGAGAGGAAGTCTCTTTGTGTACTAAGTAATTTCCATGTTGTGAAGTTTCTTGTCTTCAGATACCTTCAATTTTATGCTTTAGTCAGAAAACTCACATAGCATTCAAAAAGGAAAACTCAAAGCAATATAGACTTTTGTGCCCTTTACAAAGAATTAGAGCTGTGTGCCCCTACCAATATAGCAATATATTATATAAGGTCAATACTCCTTTTCACATGCCTCTAATACAGATACATTTTATGAGGTAGAACAGCAAACACTGAATCCCTCTAGTAGAGATGCACAAAACAAGTAATTATAGTTAGTTGTAGAAAAATAATTATGCAGTTGTGTGATGAAAACCAGTTTTTAACTGGGAGGGGAAATTCTACCAAAAAAGCACTTGGAAAAGCTAAATGTTGTGCTCTGGGAAACTTCTAAATGCAGCTGTATCACCAAAGAGAGGTACCATGGTTTTTTTGTTTTTTTGTTTTTTGTTTTTTCCCGTAATAGCACATTGTACAATGGTACATTGAATGTAATACAGTATGCTCATGTACAAGGCACATATAATTACTGCTATTTTCTGTTGACTTTTCTGTCTAAGTGACCATTTTCTCTATTACCCACTCATATAATATTTTAGCAAGAATACCCTTTATTGTCACTTAATGCTTACCAGGTAGTCCTCGATTATGATTAAATAGACACCAAGGATCACTAACAGTTCTTATTTGGTGTCAGCTATTACTATCATAAATGTTACTGCATATTCCATATGTTCAAGATACATATAATAGCATTTAATATAGGAAAAAAGCAAACGGGGCTTTATTCATAATGTGGCATATTTTTCTATACATTAGAGAGGACATTAATGAAATGTGTACATTTCCACAGAAGGTATTTGTCGCAAATATCTAATGTTCATTTTGCTCTTACGTACACCTAACCCTCATTGAAGCCAAGAGGATTTTGCTTCCTTACTGTTAAGCATGGTTGTTCTGGGCCCTTTTAACTAAATCCACTACCATGAATGAAGTTAGAGCAGAAACAGCAAGTACAGCTGCATTTAGGCTTATATCAGCATTTCCGTTTAACACATTTTTAAACTACATTTAAGGAATGTGGAGGTTATGACATGAAATGACAAAACCCAAGCGTGTGAGCTGGATGAGACTATCTTTAGCCAGGCTTCCTGGGCCAACGGGAATGAAGTATACAGTCTAAAGAAAGAGGCTCAGCTTTGCCTCAGAATTTTCAGGAGTGTGGAGGCTCTTTTTAAAGTCTTAATATTAAGCATATCTTATCTATATACCATAATGGCATCTGTGGCCAGCAAACAAGCCCGTGAAGCTCGAGGAAGTTTCCATCCTAATCCTTTCATTGCTTCTTGCTACTTCCTCCTCCCTACAGCCATATACTGGACTCCATACCACTACAACATGAAAAGAGCAAACAAATAAGACTACCTTTGGTGCAATTTCCATGGTTGCTTTCAAGTGAAATGCAACTTTTCTGCGTTTAGTAATTTGAGTTACTAAACTCTAAAACTGGTTTAGTAATTTGGGTGTAGAAAGGAATTGGTCAAGATAGAACCTTTAAATATCCATTTTATTATATGATGATCAATGTTAAAATAATGACAAATCTATCTATATTGCACATACCTGTATACATATATCTGTATATTCTTGTGAAATATAGAAACCCTGGTGCACATACCAAAGGATCTGTATTCATTTTTGCTTAGTTATTATCATT